TGTGGGCAGGGTACTTGCCTTGCATGTGTCTAACCTGTATTTGATCCCTAGTATCCCATAAATCCCCATTGCACCACAAAGAATAATTCTTGAGTGCAGCGGCTGGAGTAACCCCTCTATCATCAGGTATGGCTCAAACTGGGGTCAGCCATGTGCAAAGCAATTACATTAACCTCTGTACTCTCTGCCCTCTTGCTATTTTCTTCTTGATTTACTTAACATCTGGGCTGGAGCAATAGCACAGCGGTAGGGCGTTTGCTTTGCACGTGGCAGACCCGAGTTCGATTCCTCCGCCCCTCTCTGAAAGCCCAGCAAGCTACCGAGAGTACTTCCCCTCATGGCAAAACCTGGCAAGCTACCCGTGATGTATTCAATATACCAAACACAGTAACAAGAAGTCTCACAATGGAGACGTTACTGGACCCGCTTGAGCAAATCGATGAACAATGGGAGAACAGTGCTACAGTGCATACTTAAAATCTAACTTTTTTGGTTTGTTTTGGGGACACACTGGGTGATTCTCAGGGATCTCTCCTGGCTTTTCACTCAGGAAATACTCCTGGCAGTGCTTGGAGACCATATGGGGTTCTGGGGATCGAATCTGGGTCAGCCAAGTGTAAGGCAAGTGCCATTCCCGCTGTACTATCACTTCAGACACAACATCTAACTTTTGTGTAAGTTTCAGGTTAACAACACATTTGTTGTTGATTTATATTGCAAGATGATTGCCAGTGTTGCCATATCTAACAACTTGGTCCTATCACAGTGATTTCTCCTGGTGGTGGTCATCATCAAGATCTAGCCCACAAGGCAGAAAGATAGCACAATGGGCTAGGCAGTTGTCTTGCACAGGCAGACCCAGCTTTGATCACTGACAACTACATGTGGTCCCCCAAACCCCGCCAGGAGGAATCCCTGAGCACTGTCAGGTATGGCCTAAATACCCAAAACGTCCTAAGATCTATTTTAGAGGGGCCCAACTTATTTGGTCTATCACCACCTTTTTTGGGGTGGTAAAATTATCATGTGCCCCCTGGAAATTTAACTTTTATGAGAGAAGAAAGTAAGAGCACCCTTCTCCGAATTGCATCATATTGCCCCATACACACATATATTGTTCCAGCCCCCTCCCCCTTATCACCCACTGGGAAATACAGATCTAGTCACTAAGTTCACAGATCTCGTCTCTAACAGTTATAACACAGATTTATTATAAATAATCACTGGATTATGTGTTAAATGTCTAAAACATCTACTTAAGATTAGCTAGCTCTCCAGTGTATCTACTTTAAAATGTTCCTATTTCCCCCCATTCTTACTTCTCCAGCTCCTGGAACCACCATTCCGTTCTCTTGATCATATAAGAGATATTACATGGTATTTGACTTTATCTAATGTTCCCCCCAGTTTTAAAAGTAGTTATCTCTGAGAAGAGGGTGAGGAGAGGTACTTAAATTCACCTTTTATATCTTTCCATAATTTGCATTTTATAACCTTAAATAAATGTGACTTTTAAAATATCTAAAAGTAGTTATCTAAGTGGAAGCCAATAACCTGCTCTTTATTATTTCTTTATTCTGCTGCTCTCTTTTAGAAAAAAAATCTGATTGCTTGTTTGTTCTATTGTTTATAAATTAATCCTTTCAGAATTATTTTAAAACAAAACCACATGTGTGTGTGTGTGGTTCCAGGCATCTGCAGGGCTATCCAAACCACACAGTGAAATTGTGAGCCTGATTTGAAGATTGTTGAGGAAGTTGAGAAGAAATGAGTTTGTTTTTATAATCTTATATCTATTAAGTTTGTCAAATTCAACATGCATTCCCCCTTTACCTTCTTTTATCAGAAAACCAATAAACCACATTTTTCTGAGGCTAAAAGTGACATGGCATCATTATAAAAATGTAGAAAAGTGGAAGAAGAAACTAATGATCATAACAGTTATGTTTCCTCACAGGAAACCTGTTTTTTTACCAAGTTGAATTCATACTGTATATAGCTTTATATCCTGTTTTTCTCTCTTAAGACATTTTTCCTTGTCATGATAATATTTTTGGTTTTTTTTTCTTGTTTGTTTTTGGGCCACTCAGGGTGTAACTCTTGAATCTACACTCAGGAATCACCCCTGGCAGGCTCCGGGGACCATGTAAGATGTTGGGGATCAAACCTGGGTTGGCTGCATGCAAGGTAAGGGCCTCACCCACTGTACTATCTGTATAGCCCCATTTTTGGTTTTCTTTTAATAGAAGCTACACACAAACCTGAAGAAGAGGCAAGTATGTCATAGAGAGTGATTTGGGTACTGAACTCAGGGCCTCTGATATGCTAAACATATGCTCTGTGACTAGAGCTAGCTCTCAAACCCTCCTGATGTTAGGGGGTTTTCTGTTTGTTTTTAGGACCTTGGGGTCATACCCCACTGTGCCCAAGTTTGACTCCTGGATCTCTGCTCAGGGATCACTCCTAGCAAGGATCAGGGGATGTGGAACTGTGATGCTGGTGATGAACACAGGTCAGCCACATGCAATGCAAGCATCTTACCCCAGTACTATCTCTTCTGGCACCCCTCATAATACTTGGATGATCCTAGCACATGACATTTTATGGTTTTGCCACACCTCAAAGTCCAAGTGGATTACTTCACCATTTCTTTAAGTTTACCACTTAGGTTATTTCCATTTTCCAATATTAAAATATCGTCCTCTAATAAGCATCTTAGAAATAAAATATCTTTGTTTAAATAGTTAAATAGTTAATAGAATGTTAAATAGTTCTTTGGAATTGATTCCTAGAGATGGAATTACGGAAATGAAAAATATAGTTCAGAGCCAGAGAGATAGTACATGGGTTAAGGTGTTTGTGTTCCTTGTGGCTTACCCCAATTTCACCCCTGGCACCATCTATGGTCTCCTGAGCACAACCAGAAGTGATCCCTGAGCATAAAGCTTGGAATAAGCCTTGAGCACGTCCAGGTATGGGCCAAGAACCAAATTTTAAAAAACCACATACACAAGAAGTAGATTTCATGACTAGGTACATAGGCCCAAGAACTGGAGCACATTTTGCATGACACCCAGATTTGATATCTAGCATCTCAAAATTCCCAAGCACTGCTCCTACCTATGGGCACTGAGACCGAAGTAACTACAGTACCCCAGTATGTGTTCCCCAAAGAAAACATTACAAAAAGTGTAGATTTCTTGATGTGATCAATGAATAGACGCCGTTTCTATTGATAACAGGTTCTGCTAATTTCTACTTTCCCCTAACTCTGTATAAGAACACCAACACTATTGCTAGTCAGCCTATCTTACTCTTTCAAATAAGATAGTTGTAGGAGACAGTGGACTTTTCATTTTTCACTACTAGTAACACAACATTCTTTATATTTATTCATCACTGGTATTCCCACTTTTCTAAATTACCTATTTCTAGCACTTTACTATTTTCCCTATCAATTAGAAGATGCATTTAAAAGACAATAAACCTTGTCCCATTATATGCTGATAAAAATATTTTTCACAAGTTTGTTGGGTCTTTTACATATTGGTCATAGAGCCTGTGTGTGTATTTTAAGGTGATTAGATACCAACTAAATTGTAGTGCCCCCAGTATGAATCTCTTTACTTGATTAAATTGAAGAGGTTTGACAAGAGATCTGGAAGGGCCATTTCAGCTCATCCTAAATTTAGATCTGTGAAAAAAAATGTGTGGGCTCGATTTAAAGATTGTTCAGCTCAGATGCCCTTTTAAAATATTTAAGAAGATAGGGTGGGGGCAGGGATGGAAGCTGTTTGTGCTAGAATTTTTAGAAATCTGAGGTAAGAAACCAATTCTCTCGAGTCTCCTGCGTATTGGGAGGGGGAGAAAATTCTGTGCAAGCAAAGAGAACTCTAGATGGAAAAATACTGCTCTGGGCTTTAGATGCATGCATGGCTTGGCTTGAATTATTTCCCCACTCTCTGTATTTACTCTTTCTCCTGCTCCCCTTCTTCTGCCTCAGTAACAGGGAGGCCAGATTAGAGCTCCAAAGGGCACCAGAGCCTGCCCCCTGCAGCCAATTAGCTCATGCAATGCGTAATAAAATACTTAAGATCTTCTCAACTCCCACTCAGTCTGGGCTCAAGCAAGTGTTACTGTGGGGGCTACGTCTAGACACACTTCAAAGAGAAGAAATCAGTCCCGGAAAGAAACTTTGGTCATTACTGCCAGGGAGAAATATGCATGACAGAACATTGCTTTGCTGGTGCCTTGGGGTTGTGGTTGCAATAAATGATTTTCGGTTCTCTAGAATGAACTCAAAGTAACCAGGTGACTGATTCAGTCAGGGCCGGTATGCGTTGACTTCAGCTATCCCTTGGGGGTCTGTCCTTCTTGTTGGGGAGAAGAATTGGGGAAGCGTCATCTAGGATAATAAATGGGGATGCTTAGGGTGAAAATGGGTTCTCTAGGTCTCTAAGGTAGAAAAGGAGCTCCTGAAACCACCTTATGGTTTCGGCCAATGCCAGAGCAAGAAAAGGGGGAAAAAGACGTCAGAATGAGAGGCTGGAAGAAGTCTGAAGCCAGAGCAATAGAACGGATGCTGGGCGCGCATCAGGTGGTGGAAGGAGGGTGTCACCCAGAGCCCAGAAAAGGCCCGACTCTGCTAGGGGGTATCTGCGCTAGGGGTAAAGGGGCGTTTGGAGGAGAGCTGCGTACTGCGTAGCTGTGCTGACTTGAGGATGGTGCGAGGCTAGAGTAGGAGTGGGTCTCCCAGGTAGGCCTGAGGGGTGGGCTCCAAGCTCTGGACCCGCAGGGCTGCGGGGGAGGAGAGCCACGAGTCCGAGGCGAGGCGGGGTAGCCGAGCTGGGCTGGGCCAGAATGAGCAAAGACCCTTAAGAGGGCGTGGCCGGGAGCCCAGCCAATCCCATCGCTTTAGCTGTCGGGAGAGGCGTGGTTTTAAGGCCCCGCCCACAGCCCCGCCTCTCGTCGCCTAGTCGGGGCCGCCGAGCTCAGCGCGCCACTTGCTCTCTGAGAGGGAGGAGAAAGCCGCCAGTTCCGGAGACTGTCCCAGCCCGCCCAACCTTTGCTCTGGAGATCATGGCTGCCGAGGATGTGGCGGCGACAAGCGCGGAGGCAGGCGAGCTGGAAGGTGGCGGGCTGCTGAACGAGATCTTCACGTCGCCGCTCAACCTGCTGCTGCTCGGCCTCTGCATCTTCCTGCTCTACAAGATCGTGCGCGGGGACCAGCCTGCGGCTGGCGACGGCGACGACGACGAGCCGCCCCAACTGCCCCGCCTGAAGCGGCGCGACTTCACCCCTGCCGAACTGCGGCGCTACGACGGTGTCCAGGACCCTCGCATCCTTATGGCCATCAACGGCAAGGTGTTCGACGTGACCAAGGGCCGCAAGTTCTACGGGCCGGGTATGGAGGAAACCTCCCCCCCCCCGCTACTCCCCAGGGGGGCGCAAAGACAAAAGAAGGGTTGCGCTGGTGGCTGGGACCTGGAAACACCGGGGTAGGGGAGCGGGGTCTCCCCCACACAGGGGAAGAAGAATAGAGGCGAGCCAGGGAGAACGGGCCGGGGGCGAGAGGCAGCCCCCGGGGACCGCGGGCCAGTGGAAGGGAACCGATCCCGGGTCTGTGCCGCCAGCGCCGGGCGGGCGGGTGGAGCAAAAAGACTTCTGGCATTACCGCCTGGAGGCGGGAGGGGAGGAACCCAGCGAAGCTGGGAAGAGGGACACCGCAGAGTACAGGGGTGCCGGGGTTAGGGGCTCCAGGGAAGGGGAGTGGATTCGATCGGGAAAAGGGAACGAAGGCGTCTCACTGGAGACCAGGGCCGGGAAGCCGGAGGAGGGAGGTCCAGAGGCGGAGGAGACGCTAAGGCTGATGACGCCGGGGCTGGGGGTAGCAGTGGAAGAGTGTGCGTGCGTGTGTGTGTGAGTGTGTGTGCGCGCGCGCGTGTGTGTGTGCGCGCGCGTGTGCGCGTGCGTGCATTTCATGGGGGGGGGGGGGAGGGCGGAGACTGCATGGGCCGCAGGTAGAAGTATCCTGCAAAGAGGTGAGGGATGTGCGTGCGTGTTCCCTATACGTGCTGGCCGGGCACGCGCATTGGAAACGTGGCGTGTGTCAGGTATATGCGTGGCATCTGTTGGTATGTGTGCGCGCGACTTCTGTGGCAGAGTATAAGGTGGGAGGTTCCACGGGGGGCGGTTGGGAGGGGTTGGAGGAGGCTTTAAGCTGGAAGGGGCAGACAGTGAGATTGTGGCAAGATGAGAAGGTAATGCTTTTGACATTTTGGTCTATGGCAGGAGTGGAAGGATGAGATGACCCTCCCAACCCCCAATTTTTTGGATCCTGGGAAACAAAAGGGGGACTAGGGAAGAGTGCTTGGTGTGGGGACTGCAGGAAAAACTTACCAGAAAGAAAGTAGTAGTTAGAGGACTGCTGAGCCGTTTCAGGGGGCAAGCAGGAAGGGGCCTCAAAGACCCATTTCCAAGCCTGACTGAGAAGCAAAATCAGGATGCCACTGAGAGAGAAATACAGATATTGGGGCCCAACTACCAGATACTACCTATTTATATAGTGTTTTTTGGGGGATTATTTCCAGAAATTTGTCATCTTTTAGCAGGGATCCACCACATGAATTTGAGAAGTAGCCAGTTTGGATAGACCTATCTGAGAGAACATTTGAAGAAAAGAGATTTTCACCTCCTTCAATGTGGACTCTAAAAAAAATCCAGGGAGCTCTAGAATGTGTCCACTTAACCTGGGCTTTCTTTTCCCCCACACACCAACCTTCGTGGAGAGAGGCATTTAGAAGGCCAGTCATACCCAGTCTTGCTGTGTTTCACTCCTCTCCGTCCAAAGAATCAAAACCAGATGTATTAAGGTTCTTAAGTCCACCTAGCAGGTTTTTCTTGAGGTCAGTAGATCTACTTTCTGTAGGCATATGACTGGATTTGAAGCATGCACCTGTATTGTTTGTCACCTAGAAGCGCTGCCAATAAACATGAGCATGTAAATACTTATGTAGATATGGAGTTATACCATAGTCAGAACACATGTATCATCATATTGTGGTTTGCAGAGACCTTGAGAAGGGAGGTTAGGCCTGTGCACAGATTTACCAAATGAGTCAGACCTCCAGCGTTCTAGTCCTGGTTGGATCACTGGTGTGAACTTGTGTAAAAATTGGCTGTCTGGGCATTACTATGCCTTTGGAAAATGATAAGGATTCCCATTGTGGGATCTCAGTTCCATGACCTGAACCATCATCCTGTGAGTCTTTGAGGACACTGTGAAGAGGATGCTTCATGCTAGAAAGGATGCCTTAAAAATGAGTTATTTTGGGGCTGGAGTGATAGCACAGTGGTAGGGTGTTTGCCTTGCTCGTTGCCGACCCGGGTTTGATTCCCAGCATCTCATATGGTCCCCCGAGCACTGCCAGGAGTAATTCCTGAGTGCATGAGCCAGGAGTAACCCCTGTGCATCACCGGGTGTGACCCAAAAAGCCAAAAAAAAATGAGTTATTTAAATGCCCATTATTCTAAGCCTGGCACGAGGTGGGAAATAAGAATATAACAGTGACTAAATTGGACAAATATTTCTGCTCACAAAGCTTACCTTCTCTTGAGTATACAATCACTGTCCTCCCGTTGTTTATCGATTTGCTCCAGTGGGCCCAGTAACATTGTGAGACTTGTTACTGTGTTTGGCATATTGAGTACGTCACGGGTAGCTTGCCAGGCTTTGCCTTGCGGGCGAGATACTCTCGGTAGCTTGCCGGGCTTGAATATATATTACAGTGAACACTGTCCAGAGACATTCCCTCTCCCTTTTCCAGACTTTATGCTCCCTTGAGAGTGTGTTTAAGTGTTCTGTGGTCATAATTTCAGACATGGTAGATCCAAAACTAGCACAGCTAGCCTATTTTCAAGCACTAGATGCTACAATGTCCACTAAATATATGTATTTGTGAAACCCCAAGTTTTTTTTAACTTCTGGTTCACTTGGTAGTATATGTTGTTGGTAAAGAGTAACCATTTTGGTGTTCAGTGATATGGCTGTGTTGCAGAGCACTACCCCTTGATTCCTGAGACCCTCAGTTCCATCTGCAGCACTACATCTACAACCAAAAGAAACCATTTCTTCTCAACCTTACTTGCCTTTAAAAGTTGATCATATATTTCGCCTAGTTGGTAAAAGAGAAAGAACAAAAAAAGGAAAGGAAAAAAATTCCCTGGATTGAGGTTTCAGGTAACTAAGTATATTGAAACTTGATCCATTCTCATACTTGGCATGGTGATTACCTACAAACTCTAATGCCAGGGTTACATACTCAATCTGTCTTTGGGGAAACGGCACATTGTTTAAAGTACACTGGATTCTTCTCATTGTGCAATATTTAAATGTCTAAATATCATCTTTACCTCCAGAATGATTCATCTCTCCCTGTAACAGAAATTCCCTGTATAATATAAATTGTAACATTTTATAGAGGTATTTTGGTCCATTGATTCGTTAGTCTTTCCCCCCCTGAAATTATCAGCGTTTTTCAGTCTTCATGGCTACCACAGACCAGTGACAGAGCTGGTCTTCTCTGTGACATCTCTTTATTGACAGAAGATTATGTAACATGTGGATAGCTTTCTGATTCATTAGATACTCTTATAAAAAAGACTACAGCAGATGCCACATGTTAATGTTTAACACGGTCTAGTAGCCAAAGATCTCTATATGATATATTTGACGCATGAAGACCTCTCAAAAGACATTTGTAGGGAAGCATCTTCATGTATGCCTTGGTGTTCAGTAAATTATCAACTTTCACTGGAGTAGACCGAGTATGTAGACTACAGAGCCAAGCTTCCAGGTTCAATGTCCCAAAGTTGAATTCTGACCTATGGACTCAGTATTATCTTGGATCAGTCTGTACAACTACCACAGAAGATAGTCACTCATGGATGGAACTGGGCTTTTTGCTGTTAGAAATTCACAGGAGCTACATGATAATCTTGAGCTCTTGATTTAGTTGACTTATTTAAAAGTTTGATTTTTTTTAATTGACACAATGTGGTTTACAAAGTTATTCATAGTTTAAGACACAGTGTTGGAGTACCAATCTTAACACCACCACCAGTGTCAAGTTCCCTCCATCAATATTCCCATATTCCCTACTATATCTGCCCCCCCCTTGGCATGCCTTCTTAACAGACATCTTGCTAAATTCAATTAAAGTTTGGGACTCTTGATTTCAGTGTTGTTGACTCTGTGGTTTGGACATTTGGCTCTATCATTCCTTAACTACCACCTTTGTACCTCAATCCCCTGACCTATCCCCCATTGCTTCTCAACTTTTTTTCTTTTCCTTCCCCCTATACTCTGGGAACAATGTTGATCTGGGTACCCCCCTTTAAAATATTGCATTCCTTCATCCAGTTTTTCTAAATACCACATATCTGTAATATCATCCTATTTTATCCTTCTTTTGACTTATTTAATATGATGTCTTCCAGTTTGATCCATGTTGACACAAAATTGCGTGAGTTCATCATTCCTTATAGCTATGTAGTATTCTATTGTGTATATATATACTGCATCTTCATGAGCCACTTACCTGATGTTGGACACCTAGTATGATTCCAGATCTTAGTTTTAATGATAGCAGATCTCTCTGCATCCAGTAGATGAGGATCAAATGACAGTACCACTTATGGTTTCAGAATGGAAGTTACTCATTCCAAAGAGGAATGTGTTGGCTAGGAAGCTGTTTTCTGTGTATGAACCAGAGAAGTCGACCACCTAATAACACACGAGTCTTTGTTTTTCTGTTTTGTTTTTAAAGAGGGGCCCTATGGGGTCTTTGCCGGAAGAGACGCATCCAGAGGACTTGCCACCTTCTGCCTGGATAAAGAAGTACTGAAGGATGAGTATGATGACCTTTCCGACCTCACTCCTGCCCAGCAGGAGACCCTGAGTGACTGGGACTCTCAGTTCACTTGTAAGCATATTTCAAATTGTGTCTGGATCAAATTTCTACCAGTAAAGTGATTCGTGGCAGGACAATAGTTATTACTAAGCAGCTTGAAACTTAGGAGCATTCTGATAGGCTCTCCGGATCTTGGGCGGATCAAGTGCATGACTTAAAGTAATTGCAGCAGTGCTGAGTCACTTGGCCATGATTGTGTACCAAGTTAGCTCTCTATGGAAGCTTAGGTTTGAGGTTTTGTTTTCCAATTTTTGAGAGGGTTGCATAGATTAAACACACTCGAATAGGGTGCTTGGTGGGTGGGGAAAGGAGAGTGACCATAGTGGCTACAGACTGGTATTTTTACCAGCCCTCCTACAGTGCTTGATTTCTAAAAGCAACCCATTTATCTGTAGAAGAATAGAAAACTCGTATTTTATAAAGCAACTTCTCTAGCTATCTCAGTGAACCAAGCTGTAGGCCTCATGTACAAGCAATATTTATCTTCTATCCCATAAGAATGATGTCTCCATTTTTTGAAAAGTGAGCAGAAAATTTGACCTGGCATCTACAGTGTCTAGGAGTTCAGTTCAACTTTTGAGAACTGATGAGTGGGACTTAACTGAAACCCATATCTTCCAAGTCATTGTTGGTGCAGTGCTGGTTTCACTGTCAAGCATTGAGTGATGAGATGAAATGTTGTTTAAGGGCCCTGACCATTTCTTTAGAGAAGAATCTTCATTTAAAGTGTTGCTATTTGCTGCTCTTCACAATGAGTTCAGTAATGGTATTGAGGGGGAGGGGGAGCGATCCAAGCTTTTTTTTTAAATAATGCTGATATCAGAGAGACTTCTTTCTGGATTAATAATTAGCCAGATATGGCTCTACCTTTAGAGTTTGGATCCCAGACTAAGTGTAGCTTTCAATTTGATTGGCATTGTCTTTTACTTTGAAAACACTGTTGAACTAGCTAACATAATAATCCCTGTTCTGCATGGGAAGGATGACTGTAGGAATAGATTCTCCAATATGTAACCAATGAGTTATCACCGTAACTTACTAAAATTTATTTTCTAGGGACTTGCCTACCTCAGTGGGGTAAAACCCTAGCCCTCCCCTTAAACTAATCATTGCCCCCAAAGGCTACTGAGATACCTCAGTTCATTGCTGGTATGGATTCCCTTAAGGCAGGTTTCTCAGCTACCGCTCAGCTTTTATTTGTCTTACACGATCCCAGGTACCTTAGGGACCTTTGTAATATGTTCACAAAGGGAAGTTTCAATTGTTCCTGATGATTATTTCACACAAAGGCAGCTCCAGTTACCTGGTTGGACAGGTTAGTTACTCTTAATTCCCACCCATGTTCTGAAAGAGGAGACTCATAGCCTCTGACATTGAGATTCTGTTTTGTTTGGTTTAGTTTGGAGGCCACACCCAGCAATGCTCAGGAATTACTCCTGGTAGTGCTCAGGAGGCATTGAGATTTTTGTTTTGTTTTGTTTTTGGTCCACACCCGATGGTGCTCAGGACTTACTCCTGGCTCTGCACTCAAAAATTACTTCTGGTGGAGAGAGAGAGAAGAAAAGGGAATGCCCTAACACAGAGACAGGGTGGGATGGGGGGGTGATGGGGGGTAGGAGGGATACTGGGACCCGTGGTGGTGGAAAATCGGCACTGGTGGAAGGATGGGTACTTGATCATTGAATAACTGAAACCCAAGCACAAAAATTTTTAAGTCTACAACTGTACCTCATGGTGTTTCATTAATAAAAATTTTTTAAAAACAAACAAAGAAAAGAAATACTCCCTGAAATTGAGTGTAGGCAGTCTTTGGAGAATCACAAATGGACAGAATGGACAGAAAGGATCAGGAGAAGAGTTGGTGTGTCTCCCCTGCGGGAGGTATGTCCAAGGACTTGTTGAGTACAAGCTCACTCCATCCCCAGCAAGACTTTTGGAGACTAGCTAATTAGCTCATCATCTCCATTTTGGTGATGAGGGCGCTGAGCATTAAACATTGGACGCAGATTAAATGTTGGATGCAGCTCAGCTGGAATCACAGATTAACAGTGAAGGAGTTTTGGGGATAATTATGTCCAAATACCACACACATATCAAATTTCTTTATCTCTAATAAATTTAACTGGGATGCTCTCAGGGGAGGATCAGGAATATGGGGTGCTGGGGATTGAACTCAGGTTGGCGCCGTGCAAGGCAAGTGCATAACTGCTGTACTGTCACTCCAGCCCTGACATTGAGATTCTTTTTGCTTTTGGACTCATACCTGGTTACTCCTGGCTTTGCACTCACTCAGGAATTACTCTTGGCGGTGCTCAGGGGACCATAAGCGATGCTGGGAATCGGACCTGGATCGGCTGCGAGCAAGGCAAACACCTTACCTGCTGTGCTACTGCTCCAGCCCTAACATTGAGATTCTTAATCCTGCAGTCACATGGTGGTCAGAATATAGTCATTAGTGATAATGGTTTGCTCATTTAGTCCCTTCTCCTATCTGTTAAAAATCTGCTTTGAATTCTTGACAAATCTGTTCAGCATTCCTTGGCTCTCCTGCTCCTTTACCACTGCCTGTAGCCATACAGAGCTTTCCCCCTTGTCAGAGCATAATATCTCCATCTCCTAGAGCTATAGTGTAGCAGTTGAAAACCACTACCCTCAACTCTCTTAACATTACTTCCCTTCACTCTCAGGCAACTTGTCTCCAAACCCCACTTCATTTCTTCTCCAAGTCTTCTTAATATGAGTCACACCCTTCCCTCCCCAAGTGGTTTGAACATCCTTGCTCTGAGTTGCCAGGGACCAGCCAATACTAACCTCACATCTCATTCTTGTCTCATTCCTGATGTGTATCTCCTGGCCTGCTTCCCTCCAGGGTGGCTCCCTCTCCACAGCCCCTATTTCTGTTCAGGGCCCCTTCAGTTTTTTTTCCTTTCCTAGCTCATGCTTCTACTTTTCCTTTCCAGCAACTCGCTTCCTTCCCCTTTCTCATCTCAATCCCTGCTCCTGGCTCTGGAGCCCCAGAGATGCATCCTGTTTGCCCTGCTTCGGATGGCTTCTTACTATAACCTGCCTGATACCACAATGATACGGTTGTTGCTAAAGCTTGGTTTTACTCTGCCATCCCTTTATTGTAAATCGTCAGTGCCCTTTGCCACTACAAACTCCTCAAGCTGGCTTTCCACCTACTTCACATTTCCCCATGCTGCTGAATCACCCTTAATACCTCGCTCTCCTCTTACCCACTTTGTCTCTTTATTGCTCCCTAGGTAAGTTTCAGCTCTCTTGTATGCCTTTGCACAACATTTCTCCTTTCTGGAAATCTTCCCCCAAATCCTTCACACTTCCCAAATGCCTGTCTTTCCAACCCTTAAGGAACCCTCACTCTGCTCCACTCTCTTGTCCAAGATCACAACCCTTTTTTCCCTTACCTTTATGCTCACTGTTCCATTTTGCTGATTGTTTTATATTGCTGCCGTCTGAACAAAACTCTCTAATTTCTTATTGGCAAAAACTGTGCTGTTAATCCTTCCTTTTAATCCCTCCAGAAGCCTGTCACACCATGGCATCGATTGTAGGATAAATGCAATAATATGAAAAGGTGGCAGGGCTTCTTAACAAAGCTTGAGAATGATTATTGGTGTTTTCTTTCTCTCCGTCTAGTCAAGTATCATCACGTGGGCAAACTGCTGAAGGAGGGGGAGAAACCCACCGTGTACTCAGATGATGAAGAACCAAAAGAGGAGAATGCAAGGAAAAATGATTAAAGCATTCTGTGGAAGCATATCTATTTTTGTATTTTGCAGAATCATTTGTAACATTCCAGTCTGTCTTTAAAACATGGTGATTTCAATATTTAGAGAAGTTTTGAACCTGCTGTAAGATTTTTGAATGAACATCACTAGTGTCCCTGATAAAATTAACTTCTGTCTAGACTGCATGATAATCTTGTGTGACAAGGAGCCAGAAAGTGAACTACAGGGGTGACATACAGATGCTATTAACTTTTTTCTTCTATCTGTAGTGAGTGCAGGTGGAATTGGAATTGGTTTTTCCGGTATGACCAGTCCCCCAAACCAGTTTTTTTTTTAAAGTTTTAATGTGCGAAATCCCAAGGATTAACTTCATGATGCTCCCTAGAGACAGCAAATCCCTTATTTCTCAATTGACCTCACTGCATGATTTCTGGTGTTTTCTACCTCTAAGGAAAATCTGCAGTGTTCTCGAGCTTTAGTATTGATTAAGGAGGACTGTGCAGTGAGACAGTGACTCTCCAAGCTGGGCTCAGTTGAGAGAAACTTAGTTTAGTGGGTGTCTCAATTGCTTTGTTGTCCTTTGGACACATGAATGCCCTTGTGAACAGTCATTTGCAGGGAGACTGGAAACCAAATATGAACCTTCGAAAGCAAGCTTTGGGAAAAAATCACCTGGCTCACTTAAAAGAAGTTGGTAGAACTGTCTTCCCCATCCCCATGTACAAGGTGTGGGACTGTGGTTACTAGCCATGAGAGGTGGAAGGGCAGGTGAAACAGGAATGGGGAACAGGTGTGTTTGCTCCCCCAGGAGCCTTTGTGCATTGTGCATACTGCTAAAGAATGAGGAACCCATCCACTTCACTAGGCAAGAGGTTTTTAACATTTATTCATAAGGTGACAGTTCCTCTGGTGTTACAAAGCTTATAGCCACTACAATAGTAGTAAAGTGTCTAGGTCTTTGCTATCAGTCTTTTGGTTAACAAACTTAGCTTAAGTAGACTATACAGTTGTATGAGTTTGTAAAAGTATTAAATGAACAACTAGTGCAGTTTCAAACTCTTTTAATTGTAGTTAGTGTATTTTGTTGTGAACCGTGTTTAATGGTTTTACCTCAAATCAGAAAACAAAATTAAGTGCTTTGGTCAGTTAATAAAATGGTTATACCCAACAATGTGGTGGGTGTTTTGTTTCTTAAGACTAAATCTAAGGAACCAGATTTTAACATAATTAAAAGGCTGTTTTACATCTGAAGTGATTTTTTTTGGGGGGTGGGGTTGAGTTGGTATTCAAAACAACTCCATGAGTAAAAGTTCATAGACTTCTCACACTAGGTAATAACTTGTTACTGTGTCTGGCATATCGAATACTTTCGGTAGCTTGCCGGGCTCTCGGAGAGGGGCGGAGGAATCGAACTCGGGTCGGCCATGTTGGCCGCTTGGTAAGGCGAACGCCCTACCCGCTGTGCTATCGCTCCAGCCCAGGTAATAACTTGTAATGTTAAGAATTAGTGAAGACCAGGAAGTTAGCGCAAAGGACTGGATCTACAAGGGGAACCCTGAGTTAGAGCCCTAGGACTACATTGGGGTGTGGGATTCAGAGCACTGTAACAGGAGTAGCCCCTGAACACCATTGGGATATTCTCTCCGTGCTGACTCCCACCCCCTACCAAGAAAATAGTGGATTAATTTAGCAAATTGTGCTGAGTATCAACCCCACTGTCTCACGCAATGTAAGGCAATACTTACTATTACTGAGCCCCACTCACAGCTCAGAATTTTTTGTGACTTCCAATTCTGGCTCTTATGTCAGAACTTGATAAACGAGGTAGACTAGGCATTGAGATCTGTAGCAAGATTATGAAGGGGCAACTGTACTAGCTGTGGATTCTTTTTTAACTTTTTTAAAACATTTTTTATTCAATCACTTACAAAGAGAGACCCTTACAAAGCTGTTCATGATTGGATACAGTATTGCAACACCCATTCCTCCACCAGTGCACATTTCCAGTGTCCCTGATTCCCTCCTATCACAACCCCCACCCCATGCCTGCCTCTATGGCAAGGCACTTCTCTTTCTATCTCTCTCCTTTGGGGCATTGTGGTTTGCAGTATCAATACTGTAAGGTTATCAGGAATATCCCTTTGCCAACTTTTAACCCGGTAGGTAAGATAGAGAAGAGACCAGTTTGATAATGATAGCTGGGAATGATCATGCTGTGGTTTTGTTTTAAGGTGTCATTTATTCATGAAAGTATTCAGGGATCTGAAATAACAAAGTTATTTCACTTCATGACAGAAAGAGAACATCAGATCTGCATATGCAGTTGGTTGTATAATGTTAGTCTGAATTTTTGGTGTTTTGCCCTATCTTGTAGAACAGAAAAGGGACTCTATACCAAAGAAGCCTCCCAGTTTTCCTTTTCTATTAGATTATATCAAATCCTATTGCCTGCTTTCTTGGTTTTAAATGTGCCCTTCCAGCCCCACCCAGCGCCCCTCCCACATAAGTCTTCTTCATTCAACAAAGGAATCAAGTTGCCTGTTTGGACTGAACAGCTTGTTAAATCTTAAGCTTAGGAAAGGAAGTGGGGGAGAGGGAGGCTAGGCCACCTTTCCAGTCTGAAATCTCATTTCCATGTGAAGATTAGGCTACTCCATTTACAATTCCCCAGGCTTGTCTGCTGCCAAGAGGAAAATGTCCTGAGTGGTTAAAACCTGCTTTCATCCAGCCCATGCAGACGTTTTCTTCTCACTACCTGTATCGATGGATCAGAAGCAGCATTCCTATCTGCGACTTCTCTGCACGGGGTCACTTTTATTCACAGGGCCAAACACAGAAATCCTAGTCTCACACCAAGCATCCAGACAGTCCTGGCTAATTCAAAAAGCTCTTTGAACCCAACCAGTATCCTTTCAGCTCTGAAGGGCTCATATTCCTATATTGTACTTTAAGGCACTGTCTGCCTTTCTTATGAGCTACTTACAGTCAGTTTGCTGTACATTTATTTCCTTTGAAAATACATTTAACTCTTAGATCATCAAAGACCAAAAGTATGGTCCCTTAGCTTCTCTGACTAGAGTTCACAAGTCACATTCACACTTATTTGGGAATAATAGATCAGATGTAACTCCATAGAGCACCTGTCAGTCACTACCTGGTAACAGCACTACTAAACCCTTTTCTCAATGGAGGACAGTTTTCTATCTAAATTCACAATTTCAATGGAACCAAAGTGAAAACAGAACTGGTCTCATGAGTTCTGAATAATCAGTTCACACAAACGAACCTCATAAAGGGAGATGGTTGCATAGAGGCAATATTAAAACTGGACATGACTATCTTCATAGAAAATGTTGTAGATGGGCAACATGTTAGGCAATGTGTGCAGGAAATGAATAGACTACATTCAATATAAGAATTTATTTTGATTGTATCTGAGAATTAAATAATTCTTTTACAATGCCCAAGAGAAAAATGATTAGCAACAACAGTGCAAAGCAGCTACTACATACAGATAGGCATATCTTGAGTGGAATAACCAGCATTTATTTAAGCTAACATTTTAAAAATTTTATAGCAATGAAAACACATTTGAATCTCGTTTTCAAAAGTGCTAGCTTGCTTAGCTTTCTACTTGGGAAATGCAAACAAATTGCATAACAATTAACAAAATTTTAGTTTATTAAAGCAATATTAGTGAAGCAGTATACATATCCCCCAAACTGAAACACTTCTTTCAAAAGACAGAGTTTAAAGTTCAAGTTCTTTTTAATAGGAACAGAGAAAAAGATGGAAAATACTTAACAGCATGACAAAGAGAAGTAATATTGATTAATAGAACATGACTATGATATTTTTGCTTCTAGCTCACTTTCTTACTGAGCCATATTAAAAAACAGAGGATAAATTGTTCTTCCTCATTCAAGATATACACAAAGAAAGTTTACTCAAATCTGGACTGCATTACCACAAGACATAAAAAGGTTGTACAGAAAGTGCAGAAAGTAAACACAGAATGCGTAAGTTTACTTTTGATCGGCCCCAAGATATTATTCAGTAAAAAATAGAGAAAATGTTACATAGAAATGACTGAACACCATTTCCATTACACACAAAAAATTTCACATGCTGTATTCTGCAATTTATTTTTTGTATCACCAGTTACTGGGCAGCAAAAGTGTTTTACATCCCTAAAACTATGTAAATGAAAATGGTAAAATTACAGAATAAATTGAAATTGTTTTTTTCAGACCAGCATTGTTGCAAACCCATATCTTTCTTTTGTTCACTGACATGGAATGCAAGACAAAAAGGAGCGTCTCATAAGACAGAGTTACCATAAGTTGTCTGACAAATTACAAGCTCTTAGTGTTGTATCGTAACTTCATATGATGTCTCTAGGGAGATCTCAGCCAGTTTAACATTAGTAGTTAACAAGACCACTCTGGATGATAGTACTTTAGACATGAATAAACAATGTGTGTCAATTGAGGAGAAAAGGCACTCTCCCTGTATAACTCTTTAGATTTGCCCAGCCAAACTCAAGACACTGGTTTAGGAGTGGACTCGAATATAAGAAACTCAACAGATTATTCATGGTTGCCATGCAATAAATTATCTGCTAGAATACTTTCATTTTCTAAACCTTTGCATATGTATATATATTGGTATACCTTGCTTAGATTAGATCAATGAAATGATTTGTCACTCACCTTGTGGCCCCTTCAGATATCACATTGCTCAAGAGACTGCTTATGAGCATGAGATATCTTGTCATTGCAGGCAACCCACTAACTGGCAGCTTACATCGGCTCTAGCCACCAACCCTCCTATACAAAATAGCAAGTTAAGATGACTCAAAAGAAATTATGTTTTATGAAAAGGCTGCTTCTCCTACCTACTTCTGTAGATTAAAATCACTTTATCCTGCAGCAGGCAATCTAATCTCATTGATGCCTGCAATTGACAGGTATTAGAGCTTCATTTGGGGGGAGAAAAAGTCCACTTCCTTCCCCTGAAATCCCCATTATAAGGCCATATCCAGTGAGATATACATCAAGATGTAAGTCTGTATAAGTCTATAAAATATCTCCATTAATAAACATGTTCGAGAGGTCCAACGGCAGATAAAAAGATACAGTGCTTATGTTATTTTACAAATCCTGTAGACATAGCATTTGTCTAGCTAGAAAAATGTGGGCTTTGCCCTCCACTCGAAACTCCATGGCATTATCAAGGATGGAGGCAGCACTTATTCTAGTTTTGTAAAAGTCAAAATACAAAATTGGGGACAGTCATTAGCTTTTTACAAACTGATGTTATCCAACTCCAAGTGAAAAGATCATATAACCATTTCTTATCGGTAGCCAGGATCTTTTGACATTTTCTTTTGCAAATCTTGCCAGTTATTCCACTTTAATATTATTGCTTTTCTATGATGGAATGACATGGTGTTCTTTTAAAATGGTGCTAATTGTCCACTATCCAAATAAATTTCTATTTCTTTTAGATTCTTATTTTAAAACTTTCTTAAATGTCAATTCTGGGTATTGCTAATGTATTAATAATATTCTATTTTCTTGTGGTGGATGTTCATGATATTCTAACATCATGAAGAAGACTCTTGTGTGTTGTTGTTGTTTTCTATTTACTTATGTTTCTAGATAACAAGCAAGTTTGTTGCTGGACAGTATTTCTGATTGAATAAACATACATGTAAAAAGCTTCTCACTGCTACCCTGTTCGGAAATAAATTATACCAGATGACATCAAGACAGTTAATGAATTATCGAGAGGTAGCTCAACTCCTCTCAATGTAAATTGGCCCTTTCTCAGGCACCAAATTAACATTGCAGTTCAACTGTATAAGTGTCTGATCTTAGACAAACACATTTGCAAGCATTAAGTTTACCAAGATTTAGAATTAGCATAGTTTTTATTTCCAAAGCCTGTTAACAGACCACAATAATTTTAATCTATATACTATAGTTTGGCAAGAGAAATAATGTTTTGCATTTGATGTTGCCCAAACATTTAATTATCTCTCTCTTGTTTTGTTGTTGCTATATAATTTTACAACTATATTTGGTTTTACATGTTCTTGAAAGTTGTTCGTTGTTCCGGCTGAAACATTCTAAACATTTTTCAAATAAAACAATCTGTTGTAGTCATTTCTATTGTCAGCGTAGTTATCAGTGTTATGTTGAACATTACAATCATCATTAAGCATATAATAAGGATTCACAGACTGTTGAAACCCTACATCCTTGTTATATTCCGACTGCCACGGAATCTCTTTTCTTTTAGGGAAATTCCCTACATAGAAAGCATTATTATATATGTATGATGTTTTTGACATGTATGGGAGTTTGTATGTCATGTATTCGTTACATGTGTTAACTTGAGACCTCCTCCTTTTCCTCATGTTGCCATGAAATAAATTACTGGAATTGGATTCCCAGCAGTTACCTTCATAAAACATACAGTTAATGACTGGCATTACTCTCTTTCTGCATTTGTAAACTCCACCTCTCTTGAAATACTTGGTATTGTCACACCATGTGCCTGCCATTTTATAATTAACCCTCCTGACTGGTTGTCTAAAATTGTGTTCCACAGGTTCTTCACAATCATACTTCCTATCTGAACACAAGTACCTCTGATTTGACCTCTTTTCTTGATAATGAGGATTGAATTTATTAATATCAGGAAAGTCCTTTTTGAGGAAGCTCTGATAAGTGCCCATGGAACTCCCTTTCTTCTCTTCTTTTTCACTAAAGTATTCAGAATCACTACTAATTTCTTCAAGGAAATCTTTCAATTCAAAGTTTATGTTTGTTGGCCTGCCCTTTGAAGAAACAGGGCTTTCTCTTGTGGATCTGAATTTTTTTACCTCATTGGCATAGGGCTTTTCCAAAAGATGGCCATTCTCCTTGGTTAGTGGCAAAAGATGATCAGCTTCACTCTCTATTTCCTTGCAATGGAATCCCATAGCACTTTCTTTAGAATGCCCCCATTTTCCTCTCTTCTGTGATGTATGCACAGGACTCTGAGTAGAACTCTTTATTTTTGAATCAAACTTTTGAACTTGTTTTTCTCCTTGCACATTTTGCACTGATCTGCAATTGGTTGAATAAGAATCAAATTTGTTCAACTTAATTTGAAATCCATCTTTTGTGCTGTGGACAATTCTCTTCCACTGATAACCTGTATAACTTGGTTCAAGGCAGATACGGGTATAACTTGGACTTTGATAATGGTTTAATAAATAGTTAGTAAATTCATCCGTTTCGTAGACCTTCAATTTCTTGCTATGATCTTGTTCAAATAAGATTTTATTAAGGTCTTCTTCTTCAAGAAAATTATGGTGGATTAGTTTAATCTCCAGTGACTCTTGGTCAGTGAGAAAATTGTGATTGTGTCTGTTAGTTACTATGTTTCTCATTGTCTCTTTGCTAGGTGTATATCTTCCTCTTCTCCCCCCAACTTGGTGGGAAGATTTATGTACCTCAACCATTATTTTCTTTTTCTGTTTTTTTCCTAATTTGGCAACATGGTCTTTAGGTATTTTGTTCTGCTTTGGAAGATATGGAAGATGTAACTCTTTATTCTCCCAAGTGTCCAGTGTGTGCTCAAGAACACTATTGGTCTTGGGACCTGCAAAATGGGCTTCTTGAGAGTTAAGATGTGTGGGTCCCTTTAAAGAAAAAGGTTAAAAACAGCACATAAAATACCAACCAATTGACACATTTCAAAGAAAATCAGTGTTTCTAGTATTATACTTAAGATATTGTAAACTACCTCAGGGACAGCTCCAAATGAGGATCTATACCGAGGAAGCAGCAGGTACAAAATTAAATGCCTTAGTTGAATATCACTTCTAAATGTCACTTCTACTACAGAGTCCAATCATAAATTAGAAGGCACTGAGTTTTACCTGCCTTCAAGCTTATGGGGTTTGAGACATTCATCTACTCCCTGATGAATCTAACGACTGTACCAGGCATTGTACTATGGTGAAGGTTATGAAAAGGAAGTAAGAAATGGTCTCTTACCCTCCCAGAAAATTCTCAATCAAGAAATGATTGGTGGGTGAAATGTGTGTCAAAAAGGATCAACTGGTTTAAAAGAACAAGCCTTGCTTTTGTATTCCAGTCTCTTCCTAGGGCTCACTGATGAGTGTCTCTGAACTGCCTGTCACTGACCACAGAAACAAGCAAGAGACAGGTGAAGAGATAATTACAGCGGATAGGGCATTTACTTGCACACAGCCTACCCAAGTTTGATCCCAGCACCCCATATAAGCCCTAGAGAAGTGATTCCTGAGTGCAGAGTCAGCAGTAAGCCCTGAGTACCAGCAGGTGTGGTTCCAAAGAAAACAAACTAGAAGAAACATGCGAGATGATACATCAGGGTAAAGTATGACAACAGCTGAAACTTTGAGGTTATCTGCTGGGCCCTAGCACAGGGCAGATGAAAGGTGCTTCCCACAGACCTTGTGCTGCTGGGAGAGTGTGCCCTACACAAGTAGTAGTGTTTACCTATTACCTTGGTTCACAGGTGGGTCCATGCAAAATGAGTATAAGGGACCTGTGGGACAATGTGGCAAGAATTACGCACATTGGAGAGGCAAACTATTGGAAAGGAATCACCTTCTGTGGTCATTAAGGCAATGGTAAAGAAGATCCAGCTACCTTATTCTAAAAGTGGATATGGGATTTTCCCCATCCCTGTTGCACTCAATGCAATGATCCATACTAAGTGCAAGGTTGCAAATATATAAAAAAGGAACTCTGACACAGTGGTTATTCGTTCCTTGTCTTTAGGAGATAAGAGGGAGGGGGCGGTGAAGAAATGACCAAACTGAAACACTCCAAACAAAACAGTTGTTCTGCAATGTGAGCAATTCTTTAGCAAATAGTTTAAGATTAAATTAACAAGAGCTTGTTCCATTTTGAAGCCTCTCCCTTCTCAAACAAACCTGTTGTAGATGAATAGACAAAGACTGCAGAGGGTTTTTTATTGTGGAGGGGGCAGCTCCCAAACAGTAATTCTTGGGGATTCTTGGGGTACATTCCCAGTTATATTCAGTCTGACCAGTCATTTAGAACTGCTTGGGTCAACTTGGGCCACCCTGGTGGTGCTTGGGGGGGGTCTATGTTGTTCTAGGGATAAAATTTGGGCCTCTGTATGTGAAACATAAGTTCTACGCCTTTGAGCCATCTATCTGGTCTCAACTGGGAAACTACAAATCTAGCAGTCAACCTGTCTGTCTCTACTTCTTAGCATTTTCTTCTATGTCTAATAGGAACTTCAAAAAATAACAACTCTGGCTGGAGAGATGGATCAATAGGCTGAAGACACTTGCTTTGCATGCAGCGGACCTGGTTTGATCCTTGGCACCACATGGTCGTCTGAGCATCTCCATGAGCAATCCTCAAGCACAGAGCTAAGTGTAGCTCCTGACTACCACCAGGGCCAAACACCAAAAACAAAACAAAACACTAAAAATAAGCAATGCTAGTTATACTGCCCAGGATAATTCCATCCTGAAAATGTTAGAGACACATACAGTGTGTGTGTATGTGTTTGTGAAGGAAAAGATTAGGTAACACTCCATCGGAAATTTGAGGTGCCCTTATGTAACCCATAACTTGGGTTAGAAGAGAGCAGTCTATAGGAAAGAAGTACCAGCCAATGTGATGGGTCTTTCATAGGGTCCATTTTCCTAGACTACTCGAATGGAAAAGAGGTGTTTCAGAACCATCAGTACCTACCAAGACCAAAGGAGGACTGGGAAAGAGTGTTCCTGAAATTTTTCTTAGGAGTATCTGGAGCAAACGAAAGGCCTCTACCCGCCTCTGAGTCAGCAGGTACTTCCTCTCCTCCCACTCTTCAGAAGAGTTGGGTTCCTGAGGTATCTCTGCTTTGGCTCTGTCTGGTTTGCTCAGACGGTTTCTCTCCTTCTCTTCCAGGCTTCGTTTCCGGACCCTGGCCTTCTTCTTCTTTTCTAGGACTTTCCTCTCCTCTTTTCTTTTTCTAGACAATGATCAAGAGTCAAATCTTCCAAAGGTATTTATAGTCATGTGCCACTTAACAACAGGGATAAGTTCTGAGAAATGCATCATTAGATGATTTGGACCTGGTACAAATGTCAGAGAAGCCATGTACAAACACCTGGAAGAGATCACACACTACATACCAAACTTTAGGACAAAGCCTATTGGAACAACCATCATATATGTGGCCTGTCACAAATGGAAAAGTTAGACAGCAATCTGGGCCTGTAGTGGACATTTACTACCCCAGTCCTCCCCAGTTGGCTGGCCAGGACATAACATTTAGGTTTTCAGGAATATGTGACTGCCAACCCCAGGGTCTGGCACTGACAATTTATGATAAAAACAATAACTCTGTGATTCATAGTAAAGTAAGAAAGACATGGATTAAGAAGCTCAATTCGATGCATTAAACAATAGATTTAACAAATGGTGAGGGTGTGGTATACAGATACCCTCACTCATTGCTGACGGGAATGTTGTAAGGTTCAGCCCCTATAGAAAAGAGAGTTCTTCAAAAAATAGGAATTGAGCTTCCATATGACTCAGAGGTATCACTTCTTGGCATCTACCCCCTAAAATGCTAAAACATTGAATTTGGACAGATATATGAGCAGCACTTAGTACAAATAGCCAGGATATGGAAACAACCCCAAAGTCCAACTTCTGGCAGATGGATAAAGAAGTTGTAGCTTACATGGAATACTATATGTAGCCATAATAAAAGGTGAAATCAAGCAGATTGCTACAACCTAAATGGGACTGGAGGGTGTCGTGTTAAGTGAAATAAGTTAGAGAGAGGACAAATACTAAATACTCTTGGTACATAGAGTAACAAGATAAGGAAATGGAAGGTGTCAAATGATGGCAAACTCTTGATTTTGGGTTATAGAAATGAGAATACTAAGAAAAGATGAGAGTGGAGGTGGGGAATGAGGAGATGGACTGGTGATAACATAAGGGCATTGGCGAAGGATCCTGGGCAGTTCAGTGGTGAAGAGGTGAGGTAACTATGTAAATCAAAGCTGTAAGAATCAACACTAATGTAACCATGTGGCCCAAACAACTCAGTTTGAGTATTTACTGAATAAAGTTTTTTTTTTAAAATGAGTTTGCTAAGGAAGCAGGAGAGGGAGAGGGAGGGAATCTTGGGTCATTGGTGGAGGAGTACTACACTGTTGGTGGGTTTGGAGTTGGACCATCAAATGCTTGAAACTCTGTTCTTAACAGCTTTGTAGATCATGATGCCTAAATGAAAAATAAAAGAGAGATAAAGACAGTGTATGATAAAAAAGAAGTCTACGGAATTCAAAAGAAGGATCTCTGGGCCCCACTTTCTCAAACCAATAGCAGGGACTCAGCTTTTATTATGATTTCCTTTCGCTGAGCATCAAAATATTCTGTAAGCTAACTTTACATTGGCAAAGAAAGGTAAGCCAAGGCACTGGGAAAATAGTAGTGTGAGAACTATTCCTTGGTACATAGCAACCTAACACACAACCATAAAAACATCCTGTCTTCGAAGAATGAGGATGCTTTTTTGGATTTTTTTTTCTGACATTTAAAACCACTTTGGTTAATTTCCGATGAAAGCAGAAAGAAAAGAAAAGAAGGATAATTATTTTGAGTAATTGTTTTGACAAAAAGCTTGAGACTTACCTGGACAGCATGTGCAACCTGAAAATTTGGGTAATAGTTGCCTGATTGGGCCAAAATTCTGGCCAAATGTGACCTTGAATAATAGCTATAATGCTTCCACCACCAGCACCACCCCCGCCCTGCTAAAAAAAGTGATATGCACATGAAAGATACTCATTGCTAGGCGAAGATTTTCACTATTAAAGATCATTTCTTCCTAGATGTCTTAATTTGGCTATATCCTTTATTCCTTGATTCCCTGGCAAGTATACCATTTTGTTAAGCATCTTGTTTGAAACTGTTTCTGTCATTTGGGTTTAGTAACAGCATAATTGTTTGACCCACCAGAGGTTTCAGTAGAGATTTTCATCTTCACCAATTCCTGCCTGCACCCCAGCATTACCTAATAAATCAAGACATTCATTTAAAGGGAAATAAATGTTCATTGATCAAAACGAAAAAGACAACCCCATTTACTAAATGGCCTCACCTTTCAGCCTCTGCCTCTTCTCTCTTCTTTTCTTTTTTTCTTTCTTCCTCAACCTCCTGTAGTTTTAACCGTTCTTGATTTCTCCTCTGTATTGCTCCTTCACTGAAGTGTTTGGTCATATCAAACATAACCTGCTCCCCCCAACAAATTTTTTTAATGTTTCATTAGAAAACTGTGACAGCCAACTAGATGTGTCCCAAATCAGAGAGATAGATAAAATATACACACAATTTTGAAAGAAAATCTAATTAAAGTATCTTTTTTCTATCACCAGAGTACCCATACAGTCCTATCCTATATTTCCTCCCTCTCCCCAGTCTGCCTCCTTAGCAAACTCATTTTTAAAACTTTATTCAGTAAATTACTCAAACTGAGTTGTTTGGGTCACATGGTTACAATAGTGCTGACTCTTACAGTTTTGATTTACATAGTTACCTCACCGCTTTACCACTGAACTGCACAGAACCCTTCACCAATGCCCTTATGTTATCATCAATCTATTTCCTCGTTCACTACCTCCATTCCCATACTTCTTTAGCATTCCCATTTCTATAATCCAAGATCAAGAGTTTGCCATCATTTGACACCTTCCATTTACTTACTCATGCTTGTTACTTGTGCTTCTCAGTCCCTAGCCAACAGTCCTATGCACTTCCAAGTATTCTTTGGCAGAATTCTCAGAGGTACTTACCAAGACCATCTTGTCAGCAGAGTGTATCATCCATACAGGCTCTGAGACACGTGGTTATCTTACCACTCATTGCTTTGTTATAAAGATCAACTGAAAGAATTTATTTGTTAAGCAAAAAACAGGCTAAAATAGCCTCAAAGTGAAGGAGAGGGTATAGGAGCAAGATTCTGGAAAGCTGACACAAGATCTGAGTACAGTGGATATAAAACTACTTTGTACATCTCTCCCTCTCCTTTTTATATATAAAATCTAGACACTATAAATAAATTTGCTAAACACACACAGTAGTAGTGATTCCAATATGTCTGTATGAAAACAATAAACCACACATTCCTGATTATAGTCACCTTTCTGGGTGGGGTCTGTGATAGGGTGGGGATACTAAGACTGGACTGGTCTCATCTCACTGGTGATGCATTTTAAACATTTAACACTCATTCCCATATCACAGGTAATGCACTTTTTAAATGCTGCACCATGGTATGTGGGCGGTCATTCTAGTTGCTAACATAACTGGATTCACAGATCACACATGAATTCACTCACTCACTCATTCTCACTCATATGTAGGAAGCTACTTAACCTACAAGTCCAAATTCATGTGAAGGCTCACATTAAAGAAAAGAGGTTACATCTTACCTTAATGTTACATGCCAGAGCTTTTCCATCATCTCCTTTCAGCATCAGCTTCATTCCATGAAGAGATTCCATTGCTTTTAGAAAGTCAGTTGATTCTTGATATTGGACAAAAGCCTCAAAAGTCTGCAAGCCCAAACTGAAACTTCCAAAGCTTTCGCCAGTCATTACCTCTCTGTAAGGGTCGAGCATAGGGATATCCACATTCTTGATCTTCCCAAAACTTTCGAAAACAACCCGGAGGATCTCTTCACATGGCTTCTCCCCACTAGAACCTTTAGGGGCAAACCACTTGCAGGGCAAGCCTTCAAAATAAATGGAATCTGGGCTCGTGTTTTGATCCTGGTCTTCACCCTCATCACTGGAGAAAGCCTCCTTCTCCTTGGAGAAGTGTTCCCACTCACCTTGGGCATCTGTAGCCACAACTTTTAACTCTGTTTTCAGACCACTTAGCTTGATGATTTTACCATGTAACTTGGCCTTGAGGATCTGTACCAAACTTAATGTCTCAGCCTCCCCCTCAAATCGAATGAAGTCCTTCGTACTCTTGGAGAGTCGAACAGTGGTGAATTGGTCAGGACAAATCAAGCTCTTCAACTGGTCAAGAATTTCCCAGTTAGAAAAATGTCTCATAGTTTCAGTGCTCTCTGGAAGCAAGACCTTGATCATCAATTTGGCGATAGGCTTGAGGTAGAGGTGTTGAGCTGCACAGAGCTCAGTGGCCTCAGAGTTATCATACACCACTGTGATCATCATGATAAAACCCAGAGAGACCTTAGAGAGCAAAAGAGAACATGTTCATAGAAATGGCACAACACACTGGTTTAAAACTGGAGTGCTGCTCACCTGACTTGAGAAAGTATCCTATGGGAGAATCAAGATAATAGTTTACATTTGTTTCATGTGCTTTTGAATATATGGTAGGATTTCTGAAAGCATTGAATTAGCACATAGACATGGGATTCCTAGAACAGTGTCTTGTATACAAAAGTTCTCTTGGTCTGTAATGATAGCACAGCAGATAGGGTGTTTTTCTTGCACATGGCTGACCTGTGTTCGATTCCCAGCATCCCAGATGGTCCCCTGAGCACCACCAGGAGTAGTTCCTGAGTGCAGAGCCAGGAGTAACCCCTGTGCATTGCCAGGTGTGACCCAAAAGCAAAAAAAAAGTTCTCAAGAAACAAAAGCTATGAGAATTATTTATTGGTGTAGTAGTCCTTATTTCATTGGAGTTGTGAAACAACCTGTGTGTAGCAATGTGCTGTTTTGTAGTTGGGGAAATAGAGACAGATTCAGGAAAACAAATGACTCATTCAGAAACTGTACTGTGTTTCTGTCAAGCAGTTATTTATTTGTTTTTAATTTGGGGATCACCTGGCAGTGCTCAGGGATTACCCCTGACTCTGCACTTACTAGTGGGCTTGGGGGATCATATGGGGTGCCGGGGATAGAAGATTGATTGGCCATGTGCAAAGCAAATGCCCTTCCTGCTGTATTATTGCTCAGATTCTTTGTCAAGCAGTTTTAACAAAAGGTTTCACTGATTAAATAAAACTTTCAATAGATTTGTTTTCAGTCAGTTCAAAGTATGACCAATCAAAATAGATGTTATCTGACTTTAATTTCTTCTACTTGAGATTAAATTCACAAATAAAATTATCACCTTTTTGGAGATTAAGTAGATGTCTTTTGTGCTCCCATAGGCAATTGCTACCCAATGAAACCGATTTCTATAATGCACCCAGATCCTCCCTCCCTGCTTTCCTGAAATGTAATAAAATGTTCTAATATAATTTGAAAAGAAATGAGTCAAAGACTATTTTTTTTTTTCCTTTTTTTTTTCCCCCTTTATTTTATTTTATTTTTTTAAAGTTGTAGATTTACAATTTTTTGTGCTTTGGTTTCAATTATACAATGATCAGATACCCATCCCTCCACCAGTGCCCATTTTCCACCACCATGGATAATATCCCTCCCACCCCCATCCCCCCATCCCCCCGTCTCTGTGGCAGGGCAATCCCCTGTGTTCTCTCTCTCCTTTTGGGTGTTGTGGTCTGCAAAAGAGGCATTGAGTGGCAAACATGTTCAGTCCATAGTCTACTTTCGACATGCATCTCCCCTCCTGGGAGGATCCTCCAAACATCCTTTATTTGGTGCTCCCTTCTCTATCTGAATAGCCCTTTCCTCTAGGATACCCGGCTGGCCTCTAAGTTATGGAGTAATCCTCCTGGTGCTGATCTCAGCTATTCTTGGGTATTAATCTCATACTTTGTTACTTTATATCCCCCAGATGAATGCAATCTTTCTATGTCTATCCCTCTCTTTCTGACTCATTTCGCTTAGCATGATACTTTCCATATTGTACCACTTGTATGTAAATTTCATGACTTCATCTTTTCTAAGAGCTACATAGTACTCCATTGTGTAGATGTACCAAAGTTTCTTTAACCAGTCATCTGTTCTTGGGCATTCAGGTTTCTTCCAGTTTCTGGCTATTGTAAAGAGGGCTGCAATGAACAAACAAGTGCAGATGTCACTTCGACTATACATTTTTGCCTCTCTGGGATATATTCCCAGGAGTGGTATTGCTGGGTCAAATGGGAGCTCAATTTCTAATTTTTTGAGAATCGTCCATACTGTTTTCCAGAAGGGCTGAACCAGTGGACATTCCCACCAACAGTGAAGGAGTGTCCCTTTCTCGCCACATCCACGCCAGCATCGGTTGCTTTTGTTCTTTTGAATGTGGGCCAGTCTCTGAGGTGTGAGATGGTATCTCATTGTGGTTTTGATCTGCATCTCCCTGATGATTAATGATGTAGAGCATTTTCTCATGTGCTTTTTTGCCATTCGGATTTCTTCTTTGAGAAAGTTTCTGTTCATTTCATTGCCCCATTTTTGGATGGGGTTGGATGTTTTCTTCTTGTGGAGTTTAACCAGTATTTTGTATATCCTGGATATCAACCCCTTGTCAGATGTGTATTCGGTGAATATCCTTTCCCATTCTGTAGACTGTCTTTGTATTTTGGTCACTGTTTCTTTGGAGGTGCAGAAGCTTCTTAGTTTAAGATAGTCCCATTTATTTATCTCTGTTTTCACTTGCTCGGCCAGTGGCGTGGCATCTGAGTCAAAGACTATTTTGTTTGATGTACTGCATTTGGGGAATATTTTTAAAACTATGAATAACTTTAGACATCATAGTACCTTAATAAAAAGATAAAAAAAAAACTAGCTGCTGGTCCAGAAAGACAGTTCAGTGTATAGGGCGTTTGCCATGCATGCTGCAGTACTAGGCTCAGTGCCCGGCACCACAGAGCCAAGAGGAAGCCCTGAATAACTGGGTGTGACACAAAAACCAAATTAACAAAGAAATCAAGAAAAAACTAGCTACTATGTCCGTCTCATACCAAAACTAAAAGATAGAAATTTCAACTTAGATGAATACATCAGGTAACTACAGTAGTCAGCAAGATGTTCTCAGTGAGCAAAGGGTACCTAACCACACCCCAAGCACTGTCAGGTGGAATGCTACCTACAGACCCCTCAGAATCTTGTGGATCCCTGAGCCCCATATGCTTTAGTTCTGGTAGGTCCCAAGCACCAAAAGATGTGGCCCTACTGGACAGCATATCACAACTACATGTGTGCAATCTCTGATCATCAGAGCAAAAACAGGGAGAACTGAAGGGGGGAAGCTATTCTAAAGCATGACAATAATAAACATAGAAGCACAAATAGCATTTCTGCTGTGTGTTTTTCATGTAGGCAGAGAATTCCAGGCTAAGACAATTTGGAGAAATTGTGTATGAATTTTTCCCAAAAACCATTATCTGCTCTTCCTACTTCTCTCTTGAACAAACACATATTTCTCTTTCTTATGCTTTTTCCAATATGCCAAAGCCCCGTGCTCTCTTTTGAACATGTATCTCTCTTTCTCTCCTATCACATCTCTAAATTTCTTTTAATAAGACTATTTGTTTTACTAAAAATATGAAGGATAGATACATATAGATACATCAAAATATAGATACATGGATTATAATATATTGATAGAAAGGCATATGTATGCAGTTATATGAGAAACAGATGATAGACATTAGATATTAGATAGAATAACAAACACACAGGTTGACAAGTGATGGAGATTGAAAGTAAACAGAGAAAATGGATAGACCAACTGGTAAGCAGATAGATGAGAGACTGATGACAGATATACAGCAAAAGACAGTTGGTAAAGAAAAAGATGATAGATGATATAGCTAGACATATACAAAGATTATAGATGAACAGACAGATATACTAATATATATAGGGAGATAGATGAAAGATATTAGGTGACTGGTAGATGACAGATGATTATAGGTGACAAGTTGATAACATATGTATAGATAGAAAGTTAGATGGAATGTCAGATGATTGATATTAGAGACAGATAATAGGCACATATATATATTAGAGACACATATTATATTATATATATTAGATATATATATTAGAGACAGATAGTAGGCACATAGATATATTGACAGGTAGGTTATAAATGATTGAGAGTAAATAAATTTATAGGATAGATAGACATACAGATTACAGACAGATAATAGATTATGATAGAGTAGATGATGAAAAGACAGATGACAGAGATAGGTGATGGACAGACATGCTAGATGATATGCAGGTGATAAAGGATAAATGGTAGAGCCACAGAAAATAGATGATAAAGAGACAGATATAGATATCATAGAAGACAGATCAACAGACATATATGTATATATAAATGATAGGTGATGGATGGACAGGTGATAGATATAAGTGATATCAGACACAAGTGACTGAGAGACTGAGCAACAGTTTTACAGTACTAGAATTGAGCCAGGGCTTCATGTATGCAAGTTTTCTACTCTACTATTGAAACACACTCCCAGCCCTTATTGATATTTTTCTTTTGTTATTTTGGAGTGGACTGAGCCATATCTGATTGTGCTCAGGGCTTACTCCTGGCTCTCAAGGGTCACTCCTGGCAATGCTTGGGGGATCCTATGCAGGATCGAACCAGAGTAAGCCATGTGAAAGGCAAACACCTTAATTCCTATACTGTCTCTCACCCCGCCCATATTTTTAAGGAAAAATAAAAATCAAGCAGCAGAATTAAAACGTGCAGCCTGATTTTGTTCTGCAAAAAATGACATCATAAATTAGTAAAAGCTATAAAATAAACTCGCACCACACATGACCCTTCTTTATATACAGTCTGAAAAGGTGGCTGCTAAATTGTTAAGAATATTTTCAAAAATGTAAAATGTCCAATTTAAAATGGACTGCAGTAGAGGAGAAAAAATGACTTTCCTTTTTACTTTGTAGACTTCTTCTTTTCATCTTTGAATGTTTACAAGAAGCACTAGTTAGTTGTATGCTATCTTTTTGAATTAAAAAGGAACAGCTCGGGGCTGGACCGATAGCACAGCGGGTAGGGTGTTTGCCTTGCACGCAGCCAACATGACCGACACAGGTTCGATTCTCAGCACCCCATATGGTCCCCCAAGCACCGCCAGGAGCAATTCCTGAGTGCATGAGCCAGGAGTAACCCCTGAGCATCGCCGGTGTGACCCAAAAACCAAAAAAAAAAAAAAGGAACAGCTCAGTGATAATAAACCATTAACACGAGGCATCTCACAACTGCTGATAACAACTTACTCAAGGTCAAACAGAGTATTACAAATCCAATAATTATTACAATGTGATTCCCCCCCACACACACACACCACAGCCAAATCTGCCTT